AGATACACACGTAAACAAAGAAATTTGGACACAAATATATACATAATATATAACCAATGTAACAATTATTAAATCCCCCATTGAAATCTAACTTGTATTTATAAAACATTGTTAATTACATCAATTGATTCTATAACTAGCTAGCTAGGTAGCTCATTAACATGACATTCAATAAGTTACATGTTTATCAAACCTAAAATACATGCTCAAATTTAAAAAAAAACACGTTAATCATCTAGAGAACCGTTCTTGAGAAAATATCATTCAACATTCATCACATGGTGTCATCCTGTCATTTTCTTCCAGTGTCCCCTCATCATCATAGAGCATAGTATGTTGGGAGTTCACACACCACCTTTACATTATCATCATGTGTAGTTTTTTTAAGTGCATTGGATTGGGTGTTATTCTTCCCCATGTAAATCAAAGAAAGCCTGGAATAAGAATTAACAAAAATGATAGTCTAGAATAAGAGTTAACAAAAAAGAATGCAACGAAAATGCAAAAGTAACTAAAATGGTTCACATATTTGCACCCATTTAAATTTCTAAAACAGTATAGAGGTAGGTACAAATCTGGATTAATAGGTTACCATAACTCTATACCATAATAGTATAGAGGCAGTTTAAATTTCTTTAACTAAACGGCTAGAAATCGACATTCACGATATTCCAACTTTTCAAGAGTCTAAAAAATATAGTTTAGAGAGTACTCTTTGCAAAGTTCCAATGTCTATGTTGTAAGAAAAAATTATAATCAACTATTCTCAAACTGTCAAACAAATACTACCATTCTCAAATATCAATGTGAAGAACATTCTAATAGCAAAAAAATGCTCCGCAATACTCTAGAGTAAAAAGAGCTATTTGGAATTAAAGATTTAGAAACTATACAATAGTTTCTCGTCTGAATTCCTCAAGAAACTATACAAGAGTTTCTAGAGTTAAGCAACTTATAAACCCAAACAAAAACCAACAAATTAAAATAAGTAACAGAAATGACAACTTATCCGGTACTAACTAACTAATAAACAAAAATGCATTATTTTCATTGTGTTTTAGCCTCTTCATTTTCTTTTCAGGGAAAAATTAGAATCTGGTTTATCAAATGGCCATCAAGAATGATTGATTCTAGCAACCCCTAAAGTGAACAAGGAACCTCTCATGTTGCACCCTATAGTCATTAGTGTGGAACACTTTTATGATGCTATATATGTGTTTAGTATTTCCAATAAGTAAATTATGTATGCATATTGAGTAGCTTCTCGTCAAAAACTATACTTAACTATCTCCAGAAACTCAAAAATTAGAATAGCATTTTTTACTTGAATAAATAGTGTACATCTTCACTGATTCAAGCTGAGTACTAATTTGCTTATATAAAATTAGCAAAATTTGGAATGAACAAATAAGAGAGACACTAAGTAGTCAAGAACTCCTACTAGAGCGCAAGGTAGACTCCACACCTTCAATCCATCAATTAGGACTCTAGTTTAGGGTTCTATTACACATTAATGTTAAGCTTATATCTTAATGTATAAAGTGAAGATATACATCATATATGAATTTGTTGAGGCTGGACTACACAAAGTACATATTATGGAAGTAACATCAAGTATATGAGCCAACTAATTGACATTTCCCAATAATAAAAATTACTTAGCACACATAATTAAACAATCACCACAATAGTATTCATCACATACAAAGACTTAAAATGAAGAAGGAAGAGTAGATTACCTCTGTGCGAAGTTTTTTTATTATCAAATGGAGAGGCTCTCTTGTCAAACCCCTTTGAACCCTATCATTCCTACAAGACAATCAACTTCAAATCAGAGTGAAATTATGAATAAACTAATCACTTTTGAATTTTCATTGTTCTCTTCTTAGCCACATGGTAGACTCATTGACTTTCATTACCTAATTAATTTAGGTCAAGGTTATTAATAGTAATAATGATAGAATCAAATAGAGCATGGCTTAGTCTCTTTCAGAGCTTCCATTTTTCCTTAAGTGGGTGAAGTTCTGCCTAAATTTAGGAGTAATAATATTAGAAATAGTCTTACTCAAATTATTTCAGAAATAATGTTATCAGTGTATATAGAAATGTCAACATTTAACAGTTGTTCAATCCGGTTCACATCGTGGTTTATGCATAGCTAACGCAGTAACACACTACACTTAATCAATTTTTTTGCTGCAGTTTTTTTGCTAGGTGTCGTTACAACAAATCATGTGCATCTTGGAAACCAATGGAGTTATCTTAATAGAGGTTTTGGCCATCATCATTTGCCATTGTGCAGAATGAACTATTTGTGCCAATTTCACCTATCCCCTACTAAAAACAATTGAAAAAGTAGGATTAAAATAATTTCCCAAACAAATAAAAATATGTTTTATGAAAGTATGGCTCAATTATGTCCCCCAATACCTATCTTTTTCATACTACTCTAAATGGAATCTGAATTGACATCACACTACAACTAATTTTTAGAGACATAAGAGTAAGAGAACTATTTACAATAACATATTGGAGGTGAGTGATTTAGTAGTTAATGTGAGGAGTTGATATAAATTACACTTCGATTCCCCTAACATAGCCTGTTGTAGAATACAAATATAAAGATAAATAAAATTTTACTAGTTGAAAAAGATATCTAAGAGACCCAACATCAAAATTGTGAAGAAAGTTAAATATTTTTTGGAATAATAAAGTTGCTCCCTTAGTTCTGCCAATTGCATATTCTTGTTGTGGATTGCCTTTTAGAAAGATAAAGGCATAAGAAAATAGGTATAGTAGCACACGTGAAAGAGAAATATATATTCCAAGCACTTGAAGTCATTGAGACATTTTCACAAACACCTTGAAGGCATTATAGAACTAAAAATCTCCAGCCCTCAAATCACATTAAAACTCACATTTAAAGCAACTAAATGAACTCCAGAGAAAAACATATACAAAAACAAACCACAAAAAAACAAGCATTACAGAATAAAGCCACAAAAACATGAATTTAAACCTCATATATTGAAGACAAATAACAAATACCATAGCAATAATAAAACTCACATGTCAAGCTTTGAAGAGATAAGATGAATATGTTTTGATACATACAAAGATACATATGGGTTCTACATGTAAAGAATAATCCATATACGCCTTACTTACACACAATCAGGTAACCAAAGATCAAATAGGCGAGAGATATTTTTGAACTACCTATGACAAAAAAAGAAGATCTGATTGTTTGGTACTTTGGATTTGGAGAAATTTGGTTTGCCGCTTGTTTAAATACTTTCCGTATATTAAAGTGTTACATTCAATTTGATTAAATGTAACACTTAATGAACTAATTGTAACGATACTTCTGTAGTCATAGAAATGTTACATTAGGACACGACTAATATAACAATAGCTAATCAAATGTAACGACGTGTTAAAAAATGTTACAAGAGCCCAATTTTTTGTAACACTTTAAATAAGTGTTGCAATTTTTTTGTTACATTAGACTCAAAAATGTAGTAGTGAAATATAAATACATCTTAATTCAAGTACAAATCCATATTCAAGTACAAAGCATTTGTATACACACACACACATACTCCCTCCGTAACATTCATATCTTCTCACTTTCCTTTTTTGGACGTAACATTTATATCTTCCCATTTCTAAATCTTCCAATCATACCCTCAATAATTTAAAAAATAATACACTACTACACCTACTTTTTTTGGATTTATCCTTCATTCCATCACATTATTTCACCATCTTCCCATCATACCCTCAATAATTCATATCCCATTTCACTATTCTTAATCTCACCCACTTTGGAAGTGGGAAGATATATGTGATACGGAGGGAGTATATATACAAGAAAAAATTGCTATGACTAGTACCAAATCATAGGAAGTTTGCAAATGTAAGACTTAATTATGTTTTCCATTGGCATAATTTATTTAGTCCTCTTTTCAGAAACTTTATTGTTACTTTCCATTTGTACCCTTCATTTTAGTACTAAATACCGGGAAATATATATGATTTATAATCTTGAGATATAAATAAATATTTTGGAAAGCTTTTATTAGGTTTAACAATCTTATGAAATTAAATATGATTAATCTTCATTGGAGGGTAAATAGTGAGAATAATCAAAACTCGATGGATAAATATTTGATTTTTAAAAATGTAAAGTTGAATTATTGATTTTGATTTAACCTCAAGGGGTTAATAGTAATGTTCCCAAGGCCTAAATCCAATAATTCAGCTTGTCAAGACATATAATAATGCCAAAACTGAAAATAAAAGTCAGGATGGCTGTACTAGACCGTTGTCAGATACGTATTACTCCGTATATAAAAGTGAATCTGTGAATGTGGATGCTACCATGGATTCAGGTGGTGGCACAAGGCTATGAGCTTGGCTGATAGTATATTGGATTGCTTTTCTGTTTTTGTATTATCAATCCGAATTATATACTGCTTTGTATATATATATTAACTTTAATTAGATGGAAAATACTTTTGAAGGTATACGAGTTCTTGATAGTAGCTCAAGTAGATAATAAGGCTGCAAGAACCTCAAGTTTCAAGTCATATACTACTACTGATTACAGTCTTGACAGATAAAGGAATTCGCACATTATGGAGGCTATCATTCCATGTCAAGCTCCCAAAGTAATATCCAGTGTTATACCTATAGCTCGTGGAAATCCTCACAGTAAAAGAGACGTTCTTAACATCTGGAGTGAAAATCAGTGCATTTGGCTTTACTGAAACACTGATTCCCCTTGGAGGTTCTACTATAAGTTTGTATATAGAGTTTATAGGCCCAACGTTTGTCACCATTCTGGTTAGGGTGACTGAGCCTTTAAGGTTGTGAATGGTTATAGAAGGGAAGTTCACGTCCAGAATGGAAAACCCTTCAGAGCAATTGATGGGTTGACCGGAAAGTTGACTAATGGCAGTGCTGTTGTATCCCATGGCACATAGGCAGTGGAGATAATCAGTTGTTCCCATGTCATAGACAAGGCCAGGGTTTTTAGCTGCATTGGGATTTATAAGTCCTCCCCCATAGTCAAATGGATCTGCTAATTTAGTATCTGTAACTCCTTCACTGAATATTGGTTCTCCAGAAAAAGGGTCAGTTGTCCATCCTGCAAACACAGAATCATATATTGTAAGATTTTAATTTAAACTGAGCTAATTGATATTCAATTCGGTCGAGTTATTATAGAAGATGTTATAAACATAGAATATCCAGTATTAGAAACATGCCTCGAGTCACTAATTTATTTGTCCAGTTGTTGCTTTGGAAGTCCATATGATTAGAATTTAGAATTGGATTGAGGTTTCTCAACTAGAACATATGGTATTTCCTTCCATATGAGCAGTTTTTGTCAATCTTAGAAAATATTGGCATGTTAAGGCCATGACAAACAATCACTTAAGTTGTAACTTTAACAAAGTAGGCTAATTTTAGTACTACTGAATGCATTTATAACATTTTAATTAGGTGCAGTATAGTAACCTGTAGTAACAATGGCGGATTTGATGGCAGTTGGAGACCAATCCGGGTGAGCTTCTTTGAGAAGGGCAACTATTGCAGCCACATGTGGAGTAGCCATTGATGTCCCGCTGAGAAAATGGTATGCACTTATGGTGGGACTTGGAGAAATATATGCTGCTAGTATGTTTGTTCCGGGAGCTGCTATATCAGGCTGTATGTATAAGTACATGGAAATATTAAGAATTAATTCCACTTATTAGTATTTATGTCATTTCTTATAAGTACATTACTATGGGTTTCTGTCCATGTGTAGTCCTTCTGCCACAATGGTGGCACCTCTGTGGTGATTTTTAGAGTCAAAAATATCGACGATGGAACCACATGTCGGAAAGAAATAATAGTCATGTATCAAAAAAGATCAAAGACAAAAACGTGAACCAAATGTGAATTGGGAATACCAATTAGGTACGTTACTCTTCTAGAAATATGAAAAATTGATCAAACAACAATCTTAAGGATGAATATTCTGCTGTAAAATAGTTTTCTCAGGTGAAAGCACTTTCTCATAAAAAACAAGTGTTACTTTATACTAAAAAATGTTTCTTTAACAACAAAAACATACTTCATGCTTATTTAAGTAAACAATTATACCCCTTTCCCATGTATATATATAAGAACAATTATATCATTTGACATGTCAAACTTGTTCTTAGTTCTTACACAGCTTGTCAAATTATATGTACCTTAAGGATGTCCGGCGCTAAAGTATAAGGGCCGCGAGATGAGTAGAACGATACAACACTTGAGATGGGTTGACCAATTTGAGTTTTTGTCGAGCAAAGTCGCACTCGTGGATTGCTGTACTTTCAAAGGTCTTGTATGATTATGATATTGATATAATGGTAGATAATAGAAATGATATCAATAAAAGTATTACTATAATCATAATCACTATCACTATAGTTACTGTCATCTGTCATAGTCAGTACAAGTCACTACAGTTCAAAAATTCATATTTTTGTTCACTACCTTTATTTCAGTTCACGGAGAGAAAACAGAGAGGATTCTCAGTACAGGGATAAAACATACTTAAAGTTTAAAAAATGTTTAAATTCCCTAAATAGAAGTCATAATTTGTGATTGGACAAAAACATCCTTGTACGGGTTGAAGCTTAGTAGTAGGTGCTGCGACAGGCTGTCGGACTGCTGCAACCGGACTACCCCGGACTCGTTCTGGGACTGACATCTTCAAACCTTGACCTTCTCCTATGTGCGAATTTACATGTCTCATATGTGGTCTTATTGCTCAAACACGACACAAATGGTTCGAGAGATGGTTGTACCTAATTATGTGGGACGAGTTGCTGCCGTGCTTCGAGAGATGGTTGCCCTTTGCACAAATAATACTTGGGATCTTGTTCCACGTCTATCCGGAACAAATACTATTGGCTGAAAATGGGTTTATCAAACCAAAAGTTTTGCCCATGGTTCAGTTGATTGTCTAAAGTCCTATTTTGTGGCACACGGTTACACAGCTTTCATGATTCGGTTACACCCATACTTATAGCTATGTTGTTAAAGCAACTATTGTTTGGGTAGTATTGGCCATTGAAGTTTTGCTTAATTGGCCTCTATGTGATATTGAAGTAATTAAAAATGCCTTCCTACATGGTGTTTTAGATAGCCAATGTGTATGGAGCAACCTATTGATTGTCTTGACCCGTGCTTCCCTCATGTATGCCGGTTTCAAAAGGCATACTATGGCCTAAAACAAGCACCTCCAGCCTTGTTCCAACTATTTAGCACTTATCTGCTTCACCTTGAATTCCAAAATATCTTGCCATGACGACACCTCTTTGTTCTTCTTCACTCATGTAGTTGTGTTACTATTCTCCTCTACCTTGTATATGTTGACGATATTAAACTTACTCGAAATAATTAGACACCCACATGACTACTTGTTTATTCCTTCGGTAGTCCTAATATTCTCTAGATATTTTAGACTGAGCTCATATCTTCCAAGAAAGCAAATTGATACTACCCCATCTTATATTGGATGTACTCCCTCCGGTCCTTATTAAAGTTCTCAGTTTGACTTCACACAGATTAAGAAAATAAATTTGACTTTACTGTGGAGTGCATTGTTTGGCACTGTTTGGCACTGTTTTGCACTATTTTGTTTCCTAAAATGGAAGTGTGAACTTAAATAAGAGACATCCCGAAAAGGAAAGTGAGAACTTTAATAAGGACCAGAGGGAGTATTATTTTAGTTTTCCACCATTATTAATACAATGGTAAAAAGGTAAAAGTTATTATTCAAATTTAGATAAAATAAAGTGAAATGATAAGAATCACATATTTTTAGTTATCAGTCACTACTGTTAAAAAACATGTCAATGTCATCATCATCATTATCATTACCCCAGTGCCGCAAAGGCCCCCACCTACGGTGGGGTAAGGGGTGGTCGAATGTACACAGTCTTACCCATGTAGTAAAGCACATAGAGACTGTTTCCGGATGACTCATAGTGAAAATCGCGTCCAAAATTGCATGGATTGACTGCTACTTCATAAGTTCATAACAATGAAGCGCGGACAGTTTAGTGAACTATTTTGCTTTAATCCATCATATTCTCAAGCCAAAAAATAGTGAGTCTTTGGCTCCATTGCTAATGCACATTGAGAAAAAAATTCGATGACTTTCCCAGCAGTTTTTTTGGAGGCAATTGCTACAGGCAATAGTGGGCAGGGATATGGGAAGTATTGGTAGAGATTACAATTTAATGAGAGAAAAGGTAAACTAATTAAACAAAAGTTAGTCACATTTCAAACAGAATATTAGTCGTATTTTTATCTTTCAAAAGTATAGAGATAAAATTGTGGTCATTTTTCCTAAAATTAATTATCATCAAATTTAGAGTTCGTTTGGAAACATTGTAATTGGCTGGATCGGTTCAATCTATTAAAATTTATAAAAAAACTAACTGAATCAACTGAATTGGATGAAGTACTAAAAATTAATTTTTGAATATATTTTATTTATAAAATAAAGTAAAATTATACTGTGTAAAAAAATAGTTTAAATAGTTCTCTTTAGCAATTTCACCCAATTACACCAAACGACTAACTTCAACCAGGTTTATTGTTATTATTATACATTTGAGCATTCAAAATCAAAAGTTATGTATTTGATAAAAGATGTTGGATAAAATTGATAAGCTGAAAATATGATTTAATAAACATGTCCTAAGATTTGGTTTGAAACAATTTTCCAGTTCAGATGCATCAGTTACATAATTTAATTTGTTTTGCCATATACATGCAATGCATAACCTTGCCTTTTGTATTTCTCTCCTTGTAAACTTGTACATAATTGCCTTTTGTACTATACGTATAATTTTCATTCCTTTGCATTAAGAATAGGGAGAATATACATACCTTGTGGAACCGAGGTACTGAACTATCTGAGATCCGACGAGGAAATCTACATATACACAAGGAAAGTCACTGTCGTGAAAGTCTACGGCGGACACTTGCGGCAGCGAAACGATAACTCCCAAGCCACCGGCATCTTCAACTGTTTTAACGATATCACTAATCCGGTCACTATCCAGAGTTCCTCCCGTCACAAAACACAATACCACACTTCCGGATATCCACTTGTCATTTTTTGATAAGTAATCACAAAGTCTACAATTACAATCACTAATTAGGGAATGCTATAAATACCCCTATTTGTATCCCAATTTGTACTTCAATTTGTACCCACTCTCCCTAGTTATCTGGGTACGCGGGTAATTCATTTGAAAAGGGCAGAATTTTCTGTCCAAATGTCTGTGCACACAGGCAGTGTACACTTTGTGTACAAATTTGGGGTACACCAAGCATTGCTCATTACAAAAATAAGCGTGAACCAAGAGCATCGTATCAATCCGTCAATCACTAATTAGGGAATCCTCATCCATAGGTTTATTTGGCCTTGAGATCATCTTGACAATGTTTGTGATTTTTTTTGAAATCATGGTTAAGATGTTGGGATTATTTGAAAATATTATTTTGAAAAATAATCTAGTATCAAATATCAAAACCTTTTTTTATGGTCAAATATAAAACATTGATTATTTAAGATTATTTTCAAAGTCTTCAAGGTTCAAAACATAATTACGCTATCATTTAATGTGCCCATACTTGAAATTTGTTATATACATACTATGGCTGCAAATATATACTACTAGATAATACGTAGCATATACTTAGTATATAGAAAAAGGAGGAAGCTTCATGCCTTCATAACTCTTAAAAACATTCATTACAATTAAGTGAGATATTCTAAATTTAAATGTATGTCTCATAAAAATCTGGATAAATAGAGATCATGGTTGAGAAGAAGATAATAAGTTTTGAGATTTTACATGACAATGACATGACAAAAATAAATTTTAAAAAATCATAAAAGATATAAAATAATTATTTTACGTCCTACCAAACGCCTCCTATATTCATCCTAATAGATGTAAAGTAGTGTCATTTAAGAATCCTATTGTTATGCGGAGTATTTTGAAATTATTATAGAGCATTGAAAACATTAAACATGGCAGAATGATTTCACTATATATGACATCAAAGGAGTAATACACATATTTGTTGGGATTGGAAAATTCTTCTATTCAATATCAAGAACAGAATTACAATAGGAGGAGCAAACTCTCACACTCAACTATTACAAAAAACCAATCCTCACCAATACACTTCTACTCTAAGTGTATTTCACTCTTCACACACTTTTCTCACTTTCTAAAACTGATACTAATGAACAACATGGAGCACTCTATTTATAGGACTAGTTTAGAGACAAGAGGAAGTTGCATCCAAGCTTCCCATTCACATGGCTAGGGAGCTTCCTAGCTATCTCCAAATAATCTCCTTCCATGTTCATATGTTGGAGACCTCCTTCCAAGAAGGTGTGAGATGTCTCTTAGCAACTTCCAAGAAAGAAGGTGGAAGTTCCTTACAAATCTCCCCCTCCACCTTTTTCTTAATTTCTCTTGTTCCTGTGATGCTCGCTGGCTCCCCCTCGCTGGCAACAAGTATCCATTCAGATGTGGAATACTTTCTCTGTGGAACTATGCCTCGCATAGAACGTCGAACATGAATACCTTCAGCTTCGTCTTCAGATGAAGGCTCCCCCTGCTGAGGAATATCATCACTGTGAGTATCATCATCACCTACTGAACCATCACTCTCTTGTTCAGTAGAATCATGCATCTCCTCGTCGCTGAGAGGAATGTTTGATGATACAGGCACTTCGTCTTCTGGAGTATGTTGTTGGCGGATTATTGGATCACACCCATGAAACTCGTTTTCATGAAATACAACATCTCTGCTTCGTACAACTTTCTTCACTTCGGGATCCCACAACCGGTATCCGAATTCTTCATCACCATACCCGATGAAGATGCATGGGTTTGACTTGAGATCAAGCTTATGTCTCAACTCCTTGGACACATGTGCAAATGCCTTGCACCCGAACACTTTCAAATGAGAGTAAGAAACATTTCTTCCTGACCATTTCTTCTCTGGCACTTCAAAGTTTAAAGGAACAGAAGGTGACCTGTTTATAAGATAACAAGCTGTCAGCACAGCTTCACCCCAGAATGGCTTAGGTAGTTTAGCCATACTCAGCATGCAACGAACTTTCTCCATAATGGTTCGATTCATTCTTTCGGCTACACCATTGTGTTGCGGAGTTCGTGGAACCGTCTTCTCATGTCTGATTCCATATGCGGCGCAATATGCTGAGAACTCCCGGGAAGTGTACTCTCCTCCATTGTCTGAACGCAGGCACTTCAGCTTCTTCCCTGTTTCTCTTTCTACCATGGCATGAAATAATTTGAAGCGATCAAACACTTGATCCTTACTCTTCAAACAATAAGCCCATACCTTTCGTGATGCATCATCAATGAATGTCACGAAATATCTGCTTCCTCCAAGTGACTCCTCTTCAATGGGTCCGCAGACATCAGAGTGTACAAGACTGAGTAACTCTGAATAGTTCTTCCTGGTAGAACTGAAGGAAACCCTGTGTTGTTTCCCGAATAGACAGTGTTCGCATGGATCTAGGGCAACACCTTTGCCCATGGAAATGACTTCCTTCTTTGCAAGAGTTGTCAATCCCTTCACGCTCAAGTGGCCTAGCCTCCGGTGCCACAAGTTTGGTGATATCTCTTCTTCAACAGCATTAAGACTTGGATGACACAACTTTGCATGAGTTTTATAAAGAGTACCACAAATATGGCCTCTTGCAACAACCAAGGAACCTTTAGATAACTTCCACGTACCTTCTTTGAATCAGTTAAGATATCCTTGCTGATCCAAAGCTGTACCGGAGATAAGATTCAATCTAAGATCCGGAACATGTCGAACATCTTTCAACACAAGTGCGCATCCGACATTGGTTGTTATGTGCACATCACCAATGCCAACAATCTTCGAGAAACTCGTGTTTCCCATCTTCACAGCTCCAAAGTCTCCTGACTTATAAGATGTGAATAAGTTCTGGTGTGGAGTAGCGTGAAATGATGCGGCTGTATCAATCACCCACTCAACATCATGAGTACCTACGTGTAAACATTCTTGTTCACCATGTGTAACAAGACACACGTCTGATGACAAACTAACCATGGTCTCACCATCTTCTTGGCTAGTATTTTGACTCGTCTGTGGCTGCTCTTGTAGAAACTTTCTGCAATCTCTTTTTCTGTGCCCATAATTACTACAATAATTGCAATATCCTTCAAACCAATTATTGTTTTCATAGGACATACCTCTCTCTTGTGATCTGCCACGAACTTGAGAGTTTCCTCTGTTTTGACCTTGGCCTCTACCTCTACTGCTGGTTTCTGACACGAAGGCATATGATTGTTCAGTCCCGGCTTCTTTTCTTCGGGCTTCTTCGTTCATAAGGGCATCTGTGACCATCTGCATAGTCACTTGCCATTGGGAGCAAAATTGCTGAGAGTGACAACAAGAGTCTCCCAGCTGTCAGGTAGAGAGCTAAAGAGTAGTATCGCCTGCTCTTCATCTTTGAGAACCCATCCGGTGGTGCTCAACTGATTTACAAGATCCTGGAATTGACTGGTGTGTTCTGACACCGAAATACCACCTCGTAATTTGTGGTTTACTAATCGCCTCATTAGTAAAGTCTTATTTCGTGCGGTTTTTGCTTGATACATGCTACCAAGCTTCTCCCATAGTGTGTAAGCACTTTGTTCTTGCGCAACATGGTGGAACACACTATGATCGATCCACTGTCGAATTTGTGCGACAGTTTTTTGATTCATTTTTGTCCATTCTTCATCCGTCTTTTTATCCGGTTTCACGCCATTATTATCAAGAGGATCGGCTAAATCCCTCAAATTTAGCAAATCCTCCATCCGAGGCTTCCACATATTGTAATTTGTGGAAGTGAGTGCAATCATGGTGTCCGATGATGATTTATCCATAATAAAACGCTCAAAATATCTCGTACCTTATTTTCGGAGCCGAATTTGGACAAAAGGAGCTCACCGTTGGATCCGGAATGGCCGAAAATGGTAGGAACCGGTCTGACCTCGTCCAAAACCGGTCTGAAAATGGGTGAACTGGCCTCCACAAGTACGAACCGGTTCGGTCCGGTTCAGGCAGCAGCCGAGTGAGCAGACCAGCAGGAGGATGACGTGGCAACAGCTGGCTCTGTGCTGGCGCTGACGCGGCGCCATGTGTCGCTGACGTGGCGACGACGTTGCCGATGACGTGGCACGGATCGGCGGCCTGACAGGGTGACATGTGAGCTGACGGGGCGTGACGTGGCGCTGACGTGGCGCTGACTGGTCGTCTTCTTCCTCTGGACAGCCTGATGACGCAGCGATGACGGAGGCAATTTTCAGGCGGCGCGTACGGCCTCTTCTGGTGGCCAAAAAATTCCCCAAAAATACCGGATTTCTCGTCTCGACGAGACGAATCTAACGGTATGATCAGATCGTGATTCCGAGCAACTTCAAAAATCACGATTTTCTAACCTGTAGAAATTTATCTCAAAATGAGAAAACGGTGTATGGAAACTCAACCTCGCTCTGATACCACTTGTTGGGATTGGAAAATTCTTCTATTCAATATCAAGAACAGAATTACAATAGGAGGAGCAAACTCTCACACTCAACTATTACAAAAAACCAATCCTCACCAATACACTTCTACTCTAAGTGTATTTCACTCTTCACACACTTTTCTCACTTTCTAAAACTGATACTAATGAACAACATGGAGCACTCTATTTATAGGACTAGTTTGGAGACAAGAGGAAGTTGCATCCAAGCTTCCCATTCACATGGCTAGAGAGCTTCCTAGCTATCTCCAAATAATCTCCTTCCATGTTCATATGTTGGAGACCTCCTTCCAAGAAGGTGTGAGATGTCTCTTGGCAACTTCCAAGAAAGAAGGTGGAAGTTCCTTACAATATTACTCCTATTTAGAGAAAAGACCTTCTTTTACCGACATTACTTCCTTTGAAAAATGTGTAAGAATATATTTTCATGTTGTAATTTATTACTACCTTGGTCACCAAAAAAGCATGGATATGTCACTTTACCTATTTAAATATCATCAAATAAACTTCTCATTTCAAAAAAAAATCCTCATTAATAATTTATA